CTTTCCTCCCCCCCCCCAATGCTACACACGTACACGCGCGCCTACGCGCGCGCAGACAGGGAAAGGCATCCCATTGAGAAAATCGTCCCTTCCCCACCTAGCAATAGAGCCTTGTCCTCTGACCTACGGACAACAGCGCATTGACTTCGAGTGCGTCCAGATGGTGCTCAGTTCGAGGATTGTTGCTCCCTGGGAGAATGCAGATGATTTGACAGAGAAGGATGATTTTTTTTCGGGAGGGAGAGGCGATTTTTCAGCTCCAGATAGTGAAGCAACACTTGGTCAGCAAGAAGGAGCCGCTTGCCTTTTTGGTAATGCTGCCCCGCAAGTTCTGGACTAGAAGAGAAGCACACGTGGAAGCAAAGCTTTGCAGCAACTCTCTCTCTCTCTCTCTCTCTCTCTCTCTCTCTCTCTCTCTCTCTCACACACACACACACACACACACACACACACACACACACGGATCCTTTAATACGATTCTCTCTCCGCCCATCTCTGACTGCTTGCGGGAGGCGTGAAACGCAGGCTCTTTTGCCCTCTGGGTTAAAAGCAAGGGAAGGAAGGATCCATCGTCCTGGCGTTTCTCCGCGGTTGAAACCGCTGAGGCTGTGAGGTTTGGGAACTAACCAGACCCAGGGCTAGACTTGGACGTCTTCTAAGACGCGCGCCTCCTAAGAGCGGTTGCTTCCAGAAGGAAGCCACCCGAATCCATCTCCAAGCATCTTCTCACCAACTGTTCGGCGCTAACAAGGGGGAAAAAAGAAACCACGTCCCTCCCATGCTCTTCCGGGAGTTTAAGATCGACCTCAACCCCTCTTTGCAAGGATGGAACGAGACCAAGGAACAGGACGTCCCTCTTCCCTATATGAATTCCAGCCCCCAAAGCACGGCCGGGGCTGGCTCTCCCCTCCTTTCTACGCGCTCCATCCCCACCACACTCCATCCCAAACCGATAAGAGAAGGGCTGTGCCAGTTTTCTGGAAACTGCGCCAGGGAGGCAGCAGCCCAGCCTCTCGCAACATCTTGCAAACTCCACGCGGGAAGCCAAAGCCCGCTGGCGCCCTCTTACCCGAACCACATTTCATCCTGGTGGGAGCGCGCTCGCCCCGAGCCTATTTTCCTCCCTGCCCCCCCCAACCTCTGATCTCGAAAAGAAGATCATGGATCCAAAAAAATCTAGCTAGCTGCCGCGGAGTTCGCAAAGAAAAATCCCTGCCCTGTGGATAGGCAAAGAGCTTGGAAAGGATTCCTCGGGAAGGCAAGGAGTGGGAGGGAGAAGGAAACGATGAGTGTGTCAGCTCAGAGAACGGGGAGGGGATCACGAATTGAACCAGGGAGGCAGCTCGGGAATCTCCCACCTTCCAGCCCTGCAGGAGAGCCTCTCCCTTCCAGAAGAAGGGGTGGGAAAGGCGTACAGGATCTCCCCATTATATAATCCTCTCCAGCGCCTGGTTCTACGAAAGGAAACCGCAGCGCTGTCTCCGGCAATCGGTTTGTTTGAAGGGAGGCAAAGACTACGGCTCTCCAGGCGGGAGTCGAGCAATAACACCGAGCTTGTCTCGAATCCAAGAGACTCGGGGCCACAACCACCTGCTGCTGGAGGAGCAGGCGAGGGAGGGGAGCCCCGGCGGGCGCCTTACCTGGAAGAGGCGGAGGATGTTGGCCACCATGATGGAGACCGAGCTGCCCGAGGCGCCGATGACGCCCACCACCTTCTCGGGCTTGACGAAGACGGGCGCCTCGCCGTTGGTGCAGCGCACGTCGGAGGTGTCCTTCTGGATGAGCGCCTGCACGAAGGTGAGCGACTGCTCGAGCGCGTAGGTGTCCCGCGAGCAGGTGTCCAGGATGCGCGCGCCCAGCGTCACGTTGGGCAGCAGCTCCGGGTCGCTGTTGATCTGGTCGAGGGCGTAGAGCATGGCCTCCAGGCGGTGGATCCCGTGCTCCTTCTTGATGTCCCCGCAGGGCGCGCCGCCCCCGCCGCCG